TGCAACAAGAGAAGCCACCGCAGTGAGAAGCCTGAGCCCTGCAACTGGGGAGGAGCCCCCACCCGCTGCAACTCGAGAAAAGCCCACGCAGCAACAAAGACCCAGTGCAGCCGAAAATTTAAAAAAAAATAAATAAAACTCAATGCATATATATGTATATGTATTTTTTCTTAAAAAAGAGTAAGAAGGGATGCAGAAAGAGCAGTCAGAGTTAGCAAAGTTATGGGAGCCAGGAAGTAAGGGTGAGAAGAAACTCAGAGAATCTCAGAGGAGAAACTCAGAGATAGCAAAGTTATGGGAGCCAGGAAGTAAGGGTAAGAAGTTTCCTTGTTCTGTGCATGGCCAAACAAAAAGAAACCGTTTATCTTAGAACAGGGGACATTTTAAATGGAAAAAGGCTATCCTGTGGAAACAGTTTTTTGGAAAACAAGTTTCTATTCCTAGAGGCTTTACAGGTCATGTGGGTGGGGTATGGTGGGTAGTTGGGGGCGGGGTTTCCATCCTGAATTGATTTGTGATGTCTGTTTGAAGTGCTGTGCTGGAAGGTAGAGTAGGTCGCATTCAGGCTCAGTGAAGGTGTGAAGATTGGCTAGCAATGTCTGCCATGGGTACATGGGACATAGGTTGGTATGAGCCATTCCTTTAGGGTTCCTGGTTGAGATACATCCCCTATCCTTTGCCCTCTTGTGGCCTCTCTGGGAAAATTCATGGAAGCCCTGGGATTACGGGGTTTGTCCACATGGGCCCAGGGCTTTCTGTTTTATTTTAGAATTGAAAAAGGCCCTTGGGGCCAGAAACATGTCCTGCATTCTGGATGACTGCTCAGAGGAGCCATGGGACCAGGCAGAAGCAGGTGAGGCCCTCAGAGGCTCTTGGCCCATGCCAATGAATTGCTGGGGGTCAGGCAGGGGGGTCTCCAGGGGGGTTGTGAGTGTGGGTTCTTGGATGGAGCAGCGTGCACCTTGTCTGTTGACTTGGCCAGGTTGTCCAGGCTCATAGTGAACTAGGGCAATGGGAAGCCACAGAGTGTACCTGAGTGATAGTGGTATCCTCTGACATGCATGTGAATTTGTGTCCCATTTCTTCTTGTCAGGACTCTACAGGGCCTCTCGCAGCAGCTACTGGTTCCCAACACTGGTGGGGAAGATAGTGGTGGTGGGAGTTTTGAGTTCACCTTGAACAATGCAAGGAACTGATTTCAGGGCCGGGGTAGCCTGGCCTCCTACTATAGGACCCTACAGCAAGCTCCTTGTTGGAACAGTAAATGCGTGTAGGGCTGAGGCTGTCACTGCTGGTGGTGTGGGGATCCTGAACTCCAGCCCTAAGATGGAAGTGTTTTATGGAGAATTCCCTGAAATCGGACAGAAAATAGCTGGTCTAACTGGAAGCAGACCAATGGGCAAGATGTTTATAATCTGGGTGCTCAGAACCCAGGGTGGATGTAGGGATTCTGGAGTGGCTCACAGCTCCTCAACTTCCTTGGGTATCACTGTTTAGAGAGCTTTGTGAATCCACCCAGCTACGTGGCTCCTACATTCTTTACCCACAGAAACTCTGAGATAATAAATGTAGTTTTCAGTGGCTAACTTTTGGGTCCTTTGTTATGTGGCAGTAGCTAACTAATACACATCCCAGCTGATCTGGGACAGCATCTCAGAGTCAATCGGGTTTCTCAGGTAGCTCAGTGGGTAAAGAATCTGCCTGCAATGCAGGAGATGCAGGAGATATGGGTTCAATCCCTGGGTCAGGAAGATCCTCTGGAGGAGCGCATGGCAACTCACTCCAGTATTCATGCCTGGGAAATCCCATGGACAGAGAAGCCTGACAGGCTGTAGTCTGTAGGATTGCAAAGAGTTGGACATAACTGAAGTGACTGAGCTCATGGTAATTTTTCAACAGATTTAAATGTCTACTCGTGGAATTTCTGAGTCAAAACATATATACCATTTCAAGGCTTATCATATGACCCCCACACCTTCACCCACTCCTCTCCGGAAAGGCTGTGCCTTTTAATGAACTCAGAGTCAATTGCTGCAGATAAATTGATGAATATTCACACTCACTGGGATGAATGAAGATTAGACAATTTTTAAATGATTAAAATTATCCTGAAATGTCAGAATATTTGGGGATTTGTAACTAGGATGAGGGATTGTGGATGGGCTTCTTAACCTATTATTCAGTTGCTCAGTCATGACTGATTCTTTGTGACCCCATGGACTGCATCACGCCAGGCTTTCTTGTCCTTCACCATCTCCCAGAGCTTGCTCAAACTCATGTCCATTGAGTCAGTGATGCCATCCAACCATCTCATCCTCTGTTGTCCCCTTCTCCTCCTGTCTTCAACCTTTTCCAGCATTAATTTAACCAGAATCTAATTGATGATGGGTTTTTGCATCTGGTCTTTTGCACTGATAGCTAATGCCACTGTGAATGGCCTTTCATGCACTTTTCATGCAAGTGGGTAAATCCCCCCAAGGTGAAATCTCAGGGTTTAGAGCACATATGTTTGTCATTTCAGTAGCAGTTTCCAGAGTGCTCTCCATCAGGGTGGTCCCATCTGGTACCCCCTCACCTGGAGGTGGACTATTTCCCCACAGGCTGTCAGCTGACTTGGGATTTCTCAGATCTTCTGGGTGAAAAATGTCTCAGCATCATTTTAATGAACATATCTTATTGGGAATGAGGTGGAGAGTCTTTTCATGTGTTTAGGAGCCTCTCTGTGAAATTCTGTTTTTCTCGGTGGCGCACGTATGTATCTTCTGGGCGCTTTTACATTTCTATTAAGCTTTTCTCACTAAGCTTCCATTTCCTAGGTATTTATTATATTCCAGGCACTTGTTATGTCCAAATGTTTTGGCATCATTATGATACTTTTCCATTTTATAGATGTAGAAACTGAGGCTCGGAGAGGGACTTGCTCCAGGCAACCAGGCCCCAGCACCGAGGACTAGCCAGTATGCCCACTGCCTCCTCCGGGGACATTCCAGCACTGAAGCTCTGCCCACACTTACCGTCATTCTCAACAGATAAATGTCTACTTGTGGAATTTCGGAGTCAAATATATGTACCATTTCAAGGCTTATTATGACCCCTACACCTCCACCTTATTCCTCTCCAAAAAGGCTGTGCCTTTTATTAACACTTCCACTAACAGTATTTGTGCATATTCTCCTTTCCAAACACTGGGACTTTTCATAAAAGAAAGACTGCCAATCTGACAGACACACAGATTGCATTGTTTTAATTTCTTTGATGACTACATGCATGCATGCTAAGTCACTCAGTTGTGTCTCACTCTTTCTGACCCTTTGGCCTGTAGCCCATCAGGCTCTTCAGTCCATGGGTTTCTCCAGGCAGGAATCCTGGAGTGGATTGCCATTTCCTTCTCCAGGGGATCCTCCCGACCCAGGGATGGAACCCTCATCTCTTATGTCTCCTGCAGTGGGAGAGGGGTTCTTTACCACTAGCATCACCTAAAAATATCTCTACGGACCATTTATATGTTTCTGTGTTTTTATGTTTTGCTTTGTTTTAGTGAGTCACCTTTTCAGAGCTTTTACCTACTTTTCTCTTCAGGAGAGTTTATCTTTTTCTTATTGATCTCTAATAACTCTTTATATATTAAGGATATTAACAGTTTTGTGATACAAGCTATAGATTTTTTTTCCCCCCTCAGCTTGCTGTGTGCCTTTGGGATTGTTTACTTGCTCCAAATCTTAACTTAGTATCAAGTTTCCCAGCTGACAGTAGAACTTTTACTGGTTTCCCCCTGCCTGCCAGAAGTCATCAGTCCACTGGAGGTTGGCAGCTTCTGCACATCACAAGCCTTCCAGCTGCTTCCGGCACCAGTCCCAAGAGGGATTTCCCCAGTGTTTTTCTCAGTTCAGCTTTCAGAGATAGGACATGCAGACTCCCTGGTTTTCTCCCATTCTGCCCTGGAATGTTCATCCTCCCCCAAGAGAATGAGATTTTCCTTAGCTTTCCCTCCTAAACTTTTGCCTCATGTCCCTTGAGCACATTGAGGACACACAATCTGTGCTCTGAATTTTACCTAACAATATTGAGCCTTGCCCCACCGCTCATGTTAACAGACATCTGAGCATCTTTCTTCAAACAATTTTTTATAACGACACAAAAGTGATCAGGGAAGCCTGGTGTGCTGCCGTTCATGGGGTCGCAAAGAGTGGGACACGACTTAGCAACTGAACAACAACAAAAAGTGATTAGAAACACATTAGATTATTGGGAAAAAATTAGATTGTGGGAAAAAAATAGATTATTGAGAAACAATCCCCTTGTAGCATTTCTCGGGAAACGCCCACCTTGTCTCCAGAGCGTGCTCAGCAAGTTCTATCCTCTGACAATTCTGAGGTCGTTATGACTCCATTTTACATATGGGCAAACTGAGGCACACACAGCGACCCCCCACGCGGGGGCTGGATTTATAGCCAGGTCTGGGGACTCCAGGGCCCATGCTGTTAGTATCCAACAACCCCTGAGGACATCTCTGGGAGATCGAGAACTAAGATGGTAAAACCATGTTGCAGCAGAGGAAACTGAGATTCGGATCTCAGGAGCCTCAACCCAGGTCCTAACTATCCAGATCTGCCTCGTGACACAATCGGGGGCTTACACAAATAGAAGTGGGACAGAGAATGGGGTTGATCCCGGCGGGGAGCAATTTCCGAGGCAAGGCAGATTCTGAGCTCTGACACCTTTACTCCACAGACCCAAGTTCAGAGCGCTCCAAGTCTCTGAGGGGGCGGGGGATCCCGAGCCTGCCTATAGGTTGACGTCATTCCTCCTAGGGGGCAGTTGCTGAGGCTACGAGGCACGTTGTGTCTTTAAGACCGTTTGGAGGCGGGCCCTAAAGCCTGATTCCGCCTGGAGCTCTCCTCCCCTTTAAGGCGCGCCTCAGGGGCGGGGCCTGACGTCCCCTTTAAGGCGCGGTCCGCGTCCGCCGGCAGAAAAGCGGCTTAAAGGCGACTCGTGGCGCGATGGCGGCGGCCCCACGCGCGTGCAGGGGACACGGGCGGCCGCTCCCGGTACTGCTGCTGCTGCTGCTGTTGGCGCTGCCGCCTTTGGGGGGCCCGCCGGGCGCCGCCGCCTACTTCCCCGAGGAGCGCTGGAGCCCCGAGTCGCCGCTGCAGGCGCCGCGAGTGCTGATCGCACTGCTGGCACGCAACGCGGCCCACGCGCTGCCTGCCACCCTGGGCGCCCTCGAGCGGCTGCGGCATCCGCGGGAGCGCACGGCGCTGTGGTGAGCGCGGCGCCCACCGGCTCCGCATCAGGCCTGCTGTCCCCGTCCCGGCGGGTCCACGCCGTGTCCTGCCCTCTGTCTTCGCACTGGGCAGGGCGGACTAGACCCACGCGTGCCTTCTGCTTGCTGTCTCCTTCGGGCGGGCCAGACCCGCGCCGCGCGCGCGCGCCCTGCCTGCTGTCCCGCATCAGAGCGGACCAAAGCCGCGTGTGCCTTCCTGCCTGCTTTCCTCCGCCGCGTTAGCACCGGCGGAACCGCGCTGAGCCCGCTGGCCTCTTTAGGGTGGGGCGAGCCACTGCTCTGCAGCCTACTGGCTTCCCTGCCCCCACTCCCATTAGGACGTATCCGGGATCACCCGTGCCGCGCAGCCCGAGACTAACCCCCTAACCCACTTGGGAGCACTCACAGCTTCAAACATGGGAAGCCTGAGAACCACCCCCCCGCATTGGGGCGTTGCCGTGGCCCACATTGTACTTCCACTAACTGAACGTCTTTTCGCTCCTGCTGCCGTTTTGGTCTCTGAGCCCAGCCTGAATCAGACTTCCTGACTACTGGAGTGGGTGGGTGGGGTGCCCGGCGGAGGGTAGGGGGAGCAGATTCTTCCTGGAAGCGGAATGGGGCAGGGCCAGGAACAAATCTGGCTGGTGACTCATTGCTTCCTACCTCAGTTTTCTCATCTGGAAAGTGGGGATACTAAGCTAACTCTGATTGAGTTGTTTCTGAAGATGAACCAGTTAATGAGTGTGAAGCCCTTGTGCTGGGCATCAGTGACCAGAGTTGTGAATATTATAATAATAATTTTGTTTGATTTTGTTGTTATGACTGTCATCAGTGTTACCGTTGTTGTCAACTAAATAACAATTCATTTGGGAGAATAGCTCTTGGCTGATGGCTTCCAAATGTTACTTTTCCCTCCAGTCCAGAGAATCCAAGCACATAGTTGGTGCTTAAGAAATGGTTTTTGAATGAATGAGTGACAACAACCCCACTACTCACAGGAGAGAGTTGAAGAAGGCAGGACCAGACCATATGATATATATGTATTTTTACTAACTTGTACATATTTAGTAGCGAATATGGTTGTAAGATCCTAGATGCCCTGGAATACTGGCATCATATCTAATGTGTTTTTCCAAAATTATCTTGTGTAGTCCCCTCTGCAACTCAGTGAAGTGGGCCCAGTCCTCACCCCGTGTTACAGATAAGGAAACTGGGGCATGCTGGGGGGACGTGTCATGCTCAGGGCCGAGTAGCTGGTGTGAGGCCCAGCTGGTATGTGGCAGCCCTTGCTGCCTTACTGTTGCCTGTCCTGCCTCCGTCTCCCTCACTTCACTCACTGTCCTGCTCTGTCTGCAGGGTGGCCACAGACCACAATGCAGACAACACGTCAGCGGTGCTTCGGGAGTGGCTGGTGGCTGTGAAGGGTTTGTACCACTCTGTGGAGTGGCGGCCGTCGGAGGAGCCCAGGTGAGCGCCAGGCCTTGCCCTGATCCCCCTCTCTAGTTGGATCTGGCTGTGTTCCTGCTCACACACCCTCTATGGCTCCCATTGTCCTAAGACAGACATACTCGCCCCCTCCCTCCAGCCCCTGACATTCCAGTCCGTTCTTAGCTTTTAGCACTGGCTCTGGCTACCTCCCCACCTCCCCTCCAGCTTCCCCAGTGGGCCACAATCCTTCTGTTGGACTTTTACCCCCTCTTTTTAGTCCACCTGGAATTCCTTCATTCCCTGGGCTTTGTGGTGGACGCCCGCTGCTTTATTCCTCGTCTGTCTTAGCTCAGTTGTTTACTTTCCCCACGAGCCCTTGGCCGATGTGGACTTCAGTTCCTTTCATTCTTTCGGGCTTTAGTTTTGTACCCACCCACTGCCCAAACCAGATTAGGAGTCTAGGAGGACAGGCTCCCAGCTTTCTCCGACTCCCCCTCCCGCTCCGAGATGGGGGCGTGTCCCTACAAGGCAGTAGAGACCCCTGTGCCCCTCACCCCTCTCCAAGCGTTCTTCCCCGCTGGGTCTTTGCACACACTGTGTCCCCTACTTGGGACACACCATACCTCCGTCCTCCTCTGTTTTCGCCTTGCTCCTTCCCAGCCTTCAGATCTAGCTTACACATCCCCTCCTCCAGGAAGCCCTCTCTGACTACCCCACATTCAGCCAGCTCAAGGCCTCTCTGGGCGCCGACTGTGCCCTGTGCTTCCCCCATCACAGCTGCCTCTCCGCAGGTCCTACCCAGATGAGGAGGGCCCCAAACACTGGTCTGACTCACGCTACGAGCATGTCATGAAGTTGCGCCAGGCGGCTCTAAAATCAGCCCGGGATATGTGGGCTGATTACATCCTGGTGAGTTTTTCGCCCACCCAACCTAGGGGTCCCCAGCGGGAGGGCTGGGGTCTCCAAGGGAAGGCGGAGCAGTGGGATTCAGAGACCAACCTTAACCCTATTTTACAGAGGGGGAAACTGAGACTCTAAGAGGGGAAGTGAGTTGTCAGAGGTGACACAGCTGGTTAGTGGAGGAGCTGGGTCTTGATCCTAAGCCACCTGGGTTCTTAATCATCAGAAGTGAGTGGGTTTTTATGTCCCCGTGGTTGGACCCTTGTTCATCTGCCCTTTTAACACCATCACCAGTGATCTGATATCTCTGCACAGACACAGTGATGACCTCTGGGTGACTCCGAGAAGCAGGAGGATGAGGTGGGGGCTGGGGGATGTTGGTGACACTGAGCTGCTGACCCCTGACTTTCACTTCCCCTTCCTGGGCCCCTGGCAGGAAGGGGCTGGTTGAGGTTTGAATGCAATATTGGGATACATGCCCACAGATCACGAGTCTTCTCTGAGCTCCTTCAGCCTGGCCCCTTGACCAGGCGTGGTCCCCTCACTTGGTGCGATGCAGGGGGCACTGACCACTGAGCTTAACTCTCTGGAGGTTGAATGTAATAATGCCAGACTAAGTGCCTATGGTGGTTTCCCATCTATGCACCAGACCCCAAGCTTTGATCTTTTCCTTCTCTTAAAAACATTTTTTTTTTGGCTGCACTGTGTGCAGGCTACTCTAGTTGTGGTGCATGAGCTCCTCATTGCAGTGGTTTCTCTTGGTGTGGAGCACGGCCTCTTGAACACATGGGCTTCAGTAGTTGTGGTACATTGGCTTAGTGGCTCTGTGGCACGTGGGATTGTCCTGGACCAGGGACTGAACCTGTGTCGAACCTGTGTCCCCTGCATTGGCAGGCAGATTCTTAGCCACTGGACCACCAGGAAAGTCCTGGTCTCTATCTTCTTATTTATTTATTTTTGGCTGCGCTGGGTCTTGGTTGCTGCATGTAGGCTTTCTCTAGTTGTGGCAAGTGGGAGCTGCTTTTCCTTGAGGGGCACAGGCTTCTCATGGCGGTGGTTTATCTTGTGGAGCACCGGCTCTAGGGTGCACAGGCTTCGGTAGGTGCAGCTCCTGGGCTCTGGGATGCTCAGGCTTCAGTAGTTGCAGTGCTTGGGCTCAATAGCTGTGGTTCCTGGACTTAGTTGCCACTGGGCATGTGGGATCTTCCTGGATCAGGGATCTAACCTGTGTCTCCTGCACTGGCCAATGAATGCCTTCCCGCTGAGCCCCCAGGGAAGCGCTGGTCTCTGTACCTTCTTAATGTGTCAGTCTGCATATGTCTATCAGCCTCTCCCCGTGCCCCCCTCGTGCCAGGCCTGGGGGACACAGTGACGATTAGCACAAGCTGAGCCCCAGCTTCCCCGGAAAGGTGAACATGACCAGAAAGCAAACAAAACCGAACGAGGAAGTATCAGAAGGCAGCCAGCGCTCTGAGAGACACTTGGCAGCGTGATCAGTGTTCGGGGCTCCTGTAACAAAGTGCCAACACTGAGGGGCTTCACATGCTACAAGTTTCTTGTCTCACACTTCGGGAGGCCAGCAGTCTGAAATCTTGGGGAGGGACTTCCTTGCCGCTTCCAGCTTCTGGCGGCTTCAGGTGTTACTTGGCTTGCGGCAGCATCCCTGTAGTCTCTGCTTTTGTGATCACATGATCTTTTCTAATAAGGTCACCAGTCACTGAATTTAAGGCCCACTCTAATCTAGTGTGGGGCTTCCCCCGTGGCTCAGCGGTGAAAAATCTGCCTGCAGTGAGGAGCTGCAGGAGACAAAGTTTCGATCACTGCGTTGGGAAGATCCCCTGGAGGAGTGCATGGCAACCCACTCCAAGATTCTTGCCGGGAGAGTTCCATGGACAGAGGAGCCTGGCGGGCTACAGTCTGTAGGGTTGCAGAGAGTCAGACACGACTGAAGCGACTTAGCATGCATGCACTAATCTGGTATGGTCTTCCTGGTGGCTCAGATGGTAAAGAATCTGCCTGCAGTATGGGAGAGCCGGGTTCAATCCCTGGGTCGGGAAGATCCCCTGGAGAGGCAAATGGCAACCCACTCCAGTATTCTTGCCTGGAGACTCCCTGGGGACAGAGGAGCCTGGTGGGCTACAGTCCACGGGATCGCAGAGTCGGACACAACTGGAGACTGACACTTTCACTTTCACTAATCTAGTATGAGTCCCATCTTTTTTTTAAGTGATTATCGTTTTGTTTATTTTATGTTCTTTTCCATTATGGCTTATCACAGGATATTGCATACAGTTCCCTGTGCTATACAGGAGGACCTTTTTGTTCACCTATCCCGTGTATAATGGTTGACATCTGCTAATCCCGTACCCCTCGGCCCTCCCTCCCCCACCCCTTCTCCCGCTTGGCATCCACAAGTCTGTTCTCAAAGTCTGTGAATCTCTTTCTGTCTTGTAGAACAGGTTCATTTGTACGGTATTTTAGCTTCTGCATATAAGTGACATCACATGGTATTTGCCTTTCTCTTTCTGGCTTACTTCACTTGGTATGACAATCTCTCGTTGCATCCATGTTGCTGCAAATGGCATTATTTGATTTGTAGTATTCCATTGTATACACACACATGTTTTCTTTATCCATTCATCTGCTGATGGACATGCAGGTTGTTTCCATGTCCTGGCTGTTGTGAACAGTGCTGCTAGGAACATAGAGGTGCATGTGTCTTTTTGAATTACAGTTTTGTCTGGATATATGCCCAGATCTGGGATTGCTGGATCATATGGTCATTCTATTTTTAGTTTTCTGAGGAGTCTCCACAGTTTTCCGTAGTGGCTGCACCGACTTACATTCCCACCAACAGCATAGGAGGGATGAACTCCATCTTAATTACATCTGCAGAGACCCAGCTTCCAAATAAAGTCACAGTCACAGGTACCAGGGGTTGGGGACCTCCCTTAGGAGGGGGCCCTAGCAGAGATCTGAAGGAGCAGAGGAGCCGGCCTCAGTGGGCGCTGGGGGTCAATGTCTGAGGCAGAGCGAACAGAGCAGGAAGCAAGTGTGGGACATTCAGGGACTGGCTAGGAAGCCAGTGTAGCCAGAGTGAACTGATGAAGGGGCTGGTCCTGAAGTGGTGGGTGGGGGCCGGACTCTACAGGCCAAGAGGGAGGGATGTGGCTTTTACTTTGAGGGTAATGGGGAGCCATGGAGGGTGTGTGAGCAGGGGAGGGCTAGGTTCTGATTTCTGATTTTTAGAAGTCCCTCTGGCTGCCATGGGCACGGGGCCGATGGGGCAGGAATAGGGGCAGCAGGAGGCCAGGGTGGGCGCTGGTCTGGGGATGTGGCTTCGGGATGTGTTCTGAGGCTGAGAGAACAGTCCCTGCTGGATGTTTGGATGCCAGAAGGACCTCGCATCCTGGCGTGAGCCTTGTGGGGAGGACAGCGATCTCCTGGGAGGAGGAAGGAGGTAACAGGCTCCTCCTGGGAGCCCTGTGACTTGGCGCCTTATCAGACCATTTCATAGATGGGAAAACGGAGGCTTAGAGAAGTGACAGCCTGCTGGGTGGCCTCTCAGACCCAGTGAGGGACAGAGGTGGGACTCAAACCTCTTGGAGCCATCCAGCCCAGGGCCACCTTGTCTGCCTCCCTGGGTTTTGCTTTCATGGTTTGAGGTTGGCTGGTTTTCACTTTTTTCCCTCAGCAAACCTGGGTGGAACTCAGGGATCTGGTTCAGAACTCAAAGCAGCTTTTGACACACTCCTGTATTTTTGTAACTGAGGGCTTTGGTAATCCATATTGGAATGTGAAATCATTTGTTGAGTGTTTTGGGGTTTTTTTTTTTTAAATAATTTTATGCATTTATTTGGGGCTTCCCAGATGGTGCCGTGGTAAAGAATCTGCCTGCCAATGCAGGAGACTCAAGAGATCCAGGTTCCATCTCTGGGTTGGGAAGATCCCTGAAGGAGGAAATGGCAACACACTCCAGTATTCTTGTCTGGAAAATTCCACGGACAGAGGAACCTAGTGGGCTTCTGTCCATGGGGTTGCAAAGAGTCAGACATGACTAGTGACTGAGTACATGTATTTATTTATGTTTTAGTGCTCCGGGTCTTCACTGCTGCACGTGGGCTCTCTCTAGTTGTGGCTAGCAGGAGCTCCTCTTCTTTGGGGAGCACAGGCTTGAGGGTGTGCAGGCTCCGTAGTTGTAGTGTACAGGCCCAGTTAAACCATGGCATGTGGAATCTTCCCGGACCAGAGATCTAATCCATTACCGCCTGCATTGACAGGCAGATCCCCATCTACTGTACCACCAGGGAAGTCCCTAGTGTTTGAAAATTATTATTAAAAAGCCCTCTTTTTATGGATACTGTGGGTGTTACTTGTAAGAAAATACATAAGAAACAGTAAGAATTAGTTTAAGAAAAAAAAAAAAAACACCATACCTTGTAATGTCACCTCCTAGAGAGACTAACTCTCTGGCTATGTTTTTTCAATTGAGGTACAAGTCACGTAACATAAAATTAGCCCTTTTCAAGTGTATAAATCAGTGGCATTTAGTACGTTCATCATGTTTTGCAAGCACAGCCTCTGTCTGGTTCCAAATCTAGCTTCCATCACCCCCCAGGGAGACCCAGTGCCCACGAGCAGTCACTCCCGACTCTCCCGTCCCTGGTGACCATTGATCTGCCGAAGTTTCTGTGACTTGGCCTGTTCAGGGCGTTTCGTAAACTATGCGTAAATTAAACTGGTTCTGACTTCACTCCACCTGGGGTTTTCAGCGTTCACCCATGTTGCAGCGTGTGTCCCTGCTTCACTCCTCGCCACGGCTGAGTCATGTTCTGTGCGTGAAAGGACCACATTCTCTTTTCCTCCACTGATGGACACGTGGTTGTTCCCACTGTTTGGCTTCTATGGATAACGCCTCTAAACATGGTGTACAAATGTCCGTTCAAGTCCATGTTTCCAGTTTGCTTAGTCTGTATCTCTGAGTGAACTCACTGTAACTCGATGTTTCACTTTCTGAGAAATTACCAGACTGTTCTGGCTGTTTTCACTGTGTGTATGCTCCAAGGTCACAGATTCAAATGTCCACAGCGGCTGGGCGGGGAATATAACAGGACTGCATGGTGTGTCCCAAAGGGCAGCCGCTTCCCATCTCCAGCTGCACCTTACCTTGTGGGAATGCCGTTCCCGTGTTGCTGGAGAAGGCTGGTGTTCTAGTGTTTGCTGTTTGCAGCAAATGATTCGAGCATTCTCACAACCGTGCATGGGTAATCGATAGCATGTTCTGTGGACCAGATGCATTAAAAAAAAAAAAAAGAAAAACCAAGAATCCGACCTCCTGACAGCTCTCTGTAATAGACTGTGATTTGTATGTTTTCACATCCCGGTAGAGAGATCCTTACCTGTTTTATGTTGTTTGATTTTCACTTGTCTCGACTCTGTAGCCAGACAGTGGGACAGGGCCAGAGTTTCTGTAGCTGATTCTCCACGGCTAGACTCCTGAGTCGTTCCCAGCTTGTGTGATGAACGACTCTGCCGTGTGGCCTTCCGGGGATGACCAGTAAGCGCACACCTCCCCCCCGTGATGACCCTGTCTGTGGGTTGGTGAATTTCCTTCCAGGTTGCCACAAACGGGTGATCATCTTTTTACTCCAATATTCAACGTGTTAAAGGAAAAAAAGAACGTTACGTAAAGATCCTATTTTTACGAATTTTTTGGTTGGTGTTTAACTCACATAGAAAAAAGCGTCTTCCTCCTGGCCCCTCCCTGCAGAGGTGGCTTCTGCTCCAACCATCCTCGTCACACACCAGCGCTGCCCATCTTGAAAGTTCCCATAAATGGAGCCATGTGATGCACTGGCTGTCACTTCGGGGGTCTCGCCAGCACTGTGCGTGGGACCCGTTTGTACTGCTCTGTGTCGTGTGGCCCGTCCCTTCTCTTGCCGTGGAGTATATTTCATCATGTGATCGTAACGCTGCTGGTGGCTTAGGTCAGAGCTGTCTGTTGAGAAGCGCGGGGGCTTCCAAGGCCGCGTGTGCTCCCCAGGGTACCCCAGGCCCCCGGGACTCTGGCCTCGGCCCCAGCTGTTCTAAGCCACGGCCTAGCCCAGGTGACTCTGGTGGCCCATGCTGATGCCACGTTGGGTGTTGTGCAGTTTGTGGACGCCGACAACCTGATCCTCAGCCCGGACACGCTGACCCTGCTCATCGCAGAGAACAAGACGGTGGTGGCCCCCATGCTGGATTCCCGGGCTGCGTACTCCAACTTCTGGTGCGGGATGACATCCCAGGTCAGGGGGCCTGGGGGTGGGGGTGCTGAACAGAGCCGGTAGGGGCTGGGTTTGAAATCTGGCTTATTACCATGCCGCCTCATCGTGAACATTTTATAAACACCACTGTGACAGTCCTGAAATGAGGGGATGGGCTGCGATTGTTTCCACCCCACCTGCTGCCCCCGGCCACCAGACTCTGAGGCAGAAACACAAATACAGAGAGGGGGAGAGACTTGCCTATGCAAACATAGCTACGATGTGGTAGTGCCCGGATAGGACTTCAGGCATGGCTGGATCCATGTTTTCAGCTAACATTCCTCTTCCTCCTTCCCTTGAGTGACTTCATTTTCAAACTCCTGGGGAACAATTCCAGCAGCATTCAGCTAGTTCCCTCTGATTGACCCTTGTCCAGTCTCCTTTTTCACCTGAACCAATTACTGAAGCCAGGAAAATGCTAGGCTCTGATTGTCCCAGCCCAGAGTTGAGGGTGGGGTTGTAGGGAAAGCCAGAGGGAGTGACAGACAGGTGCTGGAGCAGGGCTGTGCCTCGGGAAGGGGTCCAGGTGGCTAGAGCCAGCAAGTGATCTGTCCTGTCTCTTCCTGTCTTTTTGTTTTGAATTGATATATAATTCATAGAATATAAAGTTCACCATTTTAAAAGTGAATAATTCAGTGGTGTCTATATTTTAAAGTATTCATAGAAGTCTAAATTTATATGCTAACAATTCTAATTTGTAAAGGGGATAAGGAAGAGAGATAACTCCAGATTTTTCCAGAAGCTTTTAGAACTTCTAAAAGAGTCCCCCTGACTTTTTTGAAGTCCTGCTTCTGGTGTTTTGATTTTAAAATCAAGGAATCTCAAGTGTCCGGTCCCTTTTCAGCTTTTTAATTGCCCTTCCCAAATGCTGCCTTTCTGATCAGAAGTACTGATCTGGGTCTGTGAGTAACTATTTCCCTGTTTCTCTGCCACTGCCCAGCGACTGAGGTTTGGGGGTTGGAGACTGCTTGGCCCTGCCCAGAGCTCTGCACTCAGGGAATGCCCACTGTAGCCAGAAGCTGACACCTGGTCTTACTCTCCAGGTGTTCTGGGCCTCCCATTGTCCTGGTCCCCAGCCTGCCCGTTAGGGACCCCCACGCAGAACTCTGCCTCCACTCCCCACAGGGCTACTACAAGCGCACGCCTGCCTACATCCCCATCCGCAAGCGGGACCGCCGGGGCTGCTTTGCCGTCCCCATGGTGCACTCGACCTTCCTGATCGACCTGCGGAAGGCGGCATCCAGGAACTTGGCCTTCTACCCTCCGCACCCTGACTACACCTGGTCCTTTGATGACATCATTGTTTTTGCCTTCTCCTGCAAGCAGGCAGGTGAGCCCGCGGGGCGTTTGCCATCCTGGGGTGTCTGTCTGGTTCTTTGGGACCAACTCTCAGCCCACAGAAGGTTCCCAGAACCAGCACGGCAGAGTACAGTGGTGACTTCAGATGCAGCTGTATCCGGGTGTTCAGGGGATATCCTCAGGACCCGTTCTCTCTCCAGCCCTGGCTCTGCTGGGAGACTTCACTCCCCAGGCCTTTAAGACCTCCTTACTGATATTTCCCTATATCCTTCCAATTATCTACAGTTAAGCATAACTGCTCTCTAATTGTATACTTAGGGCAAAAAAAATTTTTTTAAGAGAAAGAGAACACTGAATGCTGAGTTGTCATTTATTTTAAAGATGGGTCAGCAACTCATGGCCTTTGGGCCAAATCCAGCCCACCATCTGTACTCACTCATATGGATACAAGCTAGAATGTCTTTTGGGTTCTAGGATCCAACTCCCGTGTGTGTATGTTGGAGATGGGGTAATTTCCCATGCCAACCAGCAATTCTAGGACACCAGCAAGGTGTCTGATAATTCAGCAATTCTATTTCAATTTTGACTCTGTCTACTTGGAGATAGCATCCGATTCCACAGGTTAAGGTCTCAGGCCCACAGAACTGACCCCTCTCCTGCTTCAGATGCTGGTCACAAGTTCAAGTTGTCACCCGTGTTTCTACTGCATACTCAGTTGCTCAGTTGTGTCTGACTGCGAGACGTTAGGGACTGACTGTAGCCCGCCAGGCTCCTCTGTCCGTGGGATTCTCCAGGCAAGAATACCTGAGTGGGTTGCCATTTCCTCATCCAGGGGATCTTCCCAACCCAGGGATAGAACTCACATCTCCTGCGTCTCCTGCATACATTGCAGGTGGATTCTTTACCACTGAGCCAGCAGGGAAGCCCGCATGCTTTTGACCAAATGGCTATACATCAGAGGTTTCACAGCTTCCTTGGGTCCTGCTAATTTGCAAGAGCAGCTCACAGAACTCAGGAAACTCATTTACTAACTAGGTTACTATTTATTATAAAAGTGTATATAACCCAGGAACAACCTGCAGGAAGGGATGCATGGGACACGGTGTGGCGAGGGGCGCAGAGCTTCCATGCCCTTTCTGGGCACATTCTGAAGGCAGACTTGAGTTGTTCAGATAGAGCAGTTTGGCCCACAGACCTAAATATTTACTACCTGGCCCTTTAATGAAGCGCTTCCCTGGCAGCTCAACAATAAAGAATCCGTCTGCAATGCAGAAGCCTCAGGAGATATAGGTTCGATCCCTGGGTTGGGAAGATCCCCTCGAAGAGGGCATGGCAACCACTCCAGTATTCTTGCCATTCTTGCCATGGAGAATCCCATGGACAGAGGAGCCTGGAAGACCACAGTCCATGGGGTCACAAAGAGTGAGACACAACTGAAGCGACTTAGCACCCACACACTTTGAATGAAAATCATTTTGATTGGGATTATCACTTTAAAAAAAGGTATATTCTTGTTATAAAGTTTTAAATCATTCAAAAAAATGTTTTAGCTATTCAGAGAAGCACAGACACAGACAGAGGTAATGATATTCATGGTTTGTCCAACTGCATCTCATTTCTGTGCATAAACGTGAGGATTTACTGTTCTCCCACCATTTTGTGGTTTGCTTTGTCATGGAAGCCTGCAGGCCCTGTCAGTACCCATGAAAGCTTCTTGTTAACAGTTCTGGAGTTTTTTTTTGTCGTCCCATCTGGCATTGTGAACCCCTCTTCTGACCCCAGTTCCCAGATGGAGTGCTGGGGTGGTCTCTGCCAGTTGCTGGGAATAGCTGGACCCATTTATGCCCCGGCCCCACGCCAGGCAGTGAGGCTAATGCTGCTGCTAGGAGGCTGCTTCCGAGGCCTTACTGCTCTGTATTCAGTTCTCATCGTGGTTTCCTTGGCCCCAGAGGTCCAGATGTACGTCTGCAACAAGGAAGTGTACGGCTTTCTGCCGGTGCCACTGCGGTCACACAGCACCCTCCAGGATGAGGCCGAGAGCTTCATGCACGTGCAGCTGGAGGTCATGGGTGAGTCTGTCCGCGCCACCCCGGGAGGGCCAAGTTGCCTCCCTCTCCTCACCATCTCGCATCTATCCGTGAACAGTGACTGAGTGTCTGTGGACATCAGTCTCTTTGCCGGGCACTGAGAATCCAGTGTGAACAGTTGGCCCCGCTCTCATGGCTTACAAGCGGCTACGCATGGCACGCTGGGGAAATCAGGGTGTGCTTTCTGGTGGGGGTGGCATTAAGATGCAGGGTGAGTTAGCTGGAAGGGAGATTGCAGCTGGAGGGAGCAGCATGTGCAGAAGCTGGGTGGCTGGAGGGATTGCGAGCTCAGAAAACAGGCAGGCTTGGTGGGGCAGAAGGGGGACAGAGCCCGCAGGCAGGGCCACGGTGGGGACATCAGACACTGGACTTCGGAGCGGGTCTTGTCCCTGGGGTAGGCAGGGGCCGTGGAGGGTGTCGGAGCATGGAAGGTAGCAGGTCTCACTGATGACCCTGCACGTGCTTGGCCGTGTCAGCTGTCCACCACCCGTGCCCCTGCCAGCCCCCAGACCCACTGTTTGTTTAATGCTTATCTTATCGGACACTTTCTTTTTTTAATTTGAATACACTTTGAAAAGGAAACTTTAATATGCATTTTTACTGCGGTCACAAGCTGCTGTCTGTCTAATACGTACACAGACAAACCCGTGGGCTGTGTTGTTAGCACCTGGACCCCTGGTGAGGGGTGCTGAGTGCACAGGGCTGGGCCACCGCTGAGGCTGCTTGAGGACGGGGCCTCTGCCCCAGCTGGGGTCTCTGCAGCAACCACACAGTGAAGCCACGTCCTCTTCTGTGGGGGCCTGGCCCTGCGCCGAGCACCCACTTCCCTGTGAAGGGCTGTGAAGCAGCACAGCGATTCCTTCCACTGCACAGAGAGAGGATTGGAGGGCCAGGCCCCTGTCCTGGGGCTCAGACCCCATCCCCCCATCCGTTTCTAGAAGGTTCTGTCTGTGGCTCCCCCTTGTGGTTGAAGAGGGAACGACACTCTGCTCTCTGTTGAGAGGGGCCTCTGGGGTCTTCCCTGGTGGCTCAGATTGTAAAGAATCTGCCTGCAATGCGGGAGGTCCGGGTTCGATCCCTGGGTCGGGAAGATCCCCTGGAGAAAAGAATGGCTACCCACGCCAGTATTCTTGCCTGGAGAATTCCATGAACAGCGGAGCCTGGCAGGCCACAGTCCACAGGGGTCACAAAGAGTCAGACACAGCTGAGCGACTAACACGTAACACTTTGGGTCTTTTGAGATAACACCTGGAGGCTGCAAGGTCACCAGGGCGAAGACTCCCCCCCCCGCCGCCCCCAACACCCAAGTGTCTGCCCCCTGCAGCTGTCCAGGCCCAGCACGGCGGCCCCCCCCGCCCCCCGTAGTCCAAGAGGGGGTCTCTGCTTATGCCAACTCCTTTCGGTGACTGGACCCTGAGAAGCTTCTCTGTGGCTACTATTGATGGTCCTAGTTTAAATTTTCACATATATTCTTGTTTCTGGTCAGGAAACCGTCCACTCCACTGTTATAAACTCAAACACAACAGAGGCATGCATATTTTCCTGTTTTCTGAGGGCTCAAACAGATCACCCAGGACAGAGAGAAGGAGGGTCTGGAAGTTTCAGATATTTGTGCAAATCCTTCTTTACAGTTCTTGTGAAAACTGTCTTTTCTCTCTACCTGTGTGTGGGTACCTGGTCCCAGGCCATGCCTGTGATTTTACATGTGTTCAAAGATCTTTCTTACAATAAAATTTCAAGCTTACAGAAAACCTCAAAGAGATGCCCTCTGTTCATGGGGAATCCAGCAACTTGCTTCCTTCCCTGGCTGCTCATGGAGTGTCTTCCCAGTTGGCCCCATACACTTGGCTCAGTGTGAGTCCTGTTCTCTGAGTTTTAGCACACAGGGCAGTGACGGGTCACGGGTGTGCAGCGTGAGGATCGTTTTTATATCCTTTTATATCCAGATGCAGACCAAGCCCTGACCCTCCCCAGTGTCCCCACCGCCCTGCATCCGCCAGCTGACAGGCTTTTCCCACTTTGTGCTTCACATCAGTGGAATCACACAGTGTGCGGCTCGGGTGTCTTCCACGCAGCGCCCCTGTCTGCGCTGCCGCTGGCTGCTGAGTGTGGCTGTGACTCCCTCCCTTCCTTACTGCCTAGTATTCCACGTAGATGTTCAGCTGCAGATTTGTTTACTCTTGGCTGTGTCATATGTCGGTTTACCCATCTTCTCTGGGGCATGTAGGGCATTTCTTGTTTCCCAGCATTGCGGTGTGTACAAGAGTTCTAGACATGCATCTGTGGGTGCAAAGTTAGGAAATAGCTACAAGATTGCTCTCACTTCTTACACCAGTTACAACATCAGGAGTGCCCAAGAACAGGTTCAGGTTGGATAATCTACTAGAAGTACTCGGAGCTCACTGCAAGCTGTTATACTCACAATTTATTACAGGAAAAAGACACAAATTGCAATCTTGGCAAAGGGGAAAGGTGCGTGGGGCAGCATCCAGGAGAGTTCCAAGCACAGGGCTTCCTAGTGTCCGCACTAGTGCATGACAGCATGCGTGGTGCGCTGTCAGCCAGGGCTGCTCCCCAAGCCTCTGCGTCGAGGGCTTGTGCTGGGGCTCATTCAGGTACGGCTGACTGCCATGTGGCTGACCCCCATCTCCAGTCGCTGTAGAGACTGAGCCAAGACCCCCACCCTACATTACACGGTTGGCATAGATGCCCACTATGGCCCAAGGCCTGAAAAAACAAAGACATTTCCAAGGTCTTCAACTACCCAGGAGCAAAGAGCAAAGGCCAGGCCTGTCTGTGGTCAAGATTAATCCCTCACCCTCTAATAGGTCTAGCAATGTTACAATTTTTTTTTTTTATTTGACTGCATCTGGTGTTAGTTGCAGCCTGTGGGATCTTCCACTATAGCTCACTGACTTTGTAGTTGCCCATGTGCCGGCTTAGTTGCCCTGAGAAAATGGGATCTTAGTTTCCCGACTAGGGATTGAACCCACATCCCCTGCACAGGAAGGCGGATTCTTAGCTACTGGATGACTGAGGAGGTCCCTAGGGGTGTTGCATTTTTATATCACTGTGACATAGCTGCATTGCCTTGCTCTTTCTGGACCCTAATATGCTCCATTTCCCCAGGACTGATAAGACAGGATAAAGAGATACCTCCACTTCCCACAGGCAGATCCTTCCCACACGTACACCCCAAGGGGGCAGGCAGAGACTGAGAGAGAGAGGGAAAGCGATTTGCAGCCGGAGTCTCAGATCCCAAAGCCTTGCCCTTTTGGGTCCCACGGTCCCCTGAGGATGGCAGGGGGTGGCAGGGAGCTGTGATGGGCCCTGAATACGAAGAAGCCCAGGGCACAGTGTCGCTAGAGGAGGAGGCCCAGGCTGTGAGGTGGAAGGCTCCGGGTGGACTCTGGGCCTCACCCAGGCCTCTCCCAGACAGAGGGGCCTGTGTCTGCCCTGCTAGCTCACACGGGGCCTTTGTTCTTATGGAGGTGGATGCCACACTCACCGCACACTGGGCTTTTCTGGGCCAGACTGGTAGATACCAAGAGCCTCAGCAGGCTCACAGTCCCCTGTGGATCTATTCCTTCTATGGGAAACCATCAGGCATGGGCCAAGACAGGGCTTTGGGGATGTGGTCTGAGCACTGCCTACAGCAGCTAGAAGGGGAGCGATCATGACCACCCTGAGATTCTTAGCACGTCTGGGCTTGTAGGTGGGTCACTGCGGTCACATGGCTGCCAGCTCCCTGTGTGTCTTCACCCTGTCTACCCTCTGTGTGCGTCTCTGTGTTCAGGATTCCCATTTTTATAAGGACCCCAATCACACTGATTACATGCCAAGTGTATCTGTGTAGTGGCTCAGTCGTGTCTGACACTTTGTGACCCCATGGACTGTAGCTCTGTCCATGGGATTCTCCAGGAAAGAATACTGGAGTGGGTAGCCATTCCCTTCCCCAGGGGATCTTCCTGACTCAAGGATCAAACCTGGGTCTCCTGCATTGTAGGCAGATTCTTTACCATCTGGGCTACCGGGGAAGCCCATATTGATTAGGGCCCACCACCCTAATGACCTCACTAAAGATCCTATTTGTAAATAAGATCACCTTCTGAGGTACTGGGGATCAAGATGCCAGCGTATCTTTGCAGGGAGGACACAGTTTAACCCAAAATAACATGTGTGATTTCATGGCATCGTCTCATGATATAAACCTCTGAGAGGCTTTTTAGCCCATTTTCAAGATTGAGGGAAGGAGGAGAAGGGGGTGACAGAGGATAAGATGGTTGGATGGCATCCCCAACTCAATAGATATGAGTTCGAGCAAACTCTGGGAGATGGTTAAGGACAGGGAAACCTGGTGTGCTGCAGTCCACGGGGTCACAAAGAGTCGGACACAACTTGGTGACTAAACAACAGCACAGATGAGGAGTGTCATTCCTTTGTTTGTTTTATGAGTTCGTGCCAAGCTCCTTGTTGGGTGCCAAGGAGCCAGTGTGAGTGGGTGGACCTGGTGTCCATCTGGTGGAGCTCACGGGAGATAATCAGAGAACTGGGACTTAGGGTAGTGGAATGAGGCTTTGACGAAAGCCCAGGAGCTGTGGGGGCCTCCAGAGAGGTGCCTGACTCAGCCTGGGGAGGTCAGGAGACTCCTGTTGGCGCATCCCCCCCTCCCCAAGAAGACATCATAGCTGATAACTCAGGGAAAGGAAGAGGGGAAGGAACGGGGTTTCAGCAGAGGCCCAGAGGTAGGAATAGGGGACGGGTAAGTCTGGAGCAGTGCCAACAGCCAGAGTGTGTAAGAGGCAGGGGAGAGAGACTGGGGCCGCTTCTGTGGGCGGGGCTGGGTCAGGCAGGGTCTCAGCATCAGGCTGAGCAGCCCGGTGACACGGAGCCATGCAGAGGCTGGGGAGGGGGCATCAGGAGCGAGGCTGGCGCCCTCCGTCTCCATGACCCCCTGGTGACCCCTCGGCTTTGCTGCCCCCCAGTGAAGCACCCACCCTCAGAGCCCTCGCAGTTCATCTCAGTGCCCACCAAGACGCCAGACAAGATGGGCTTTGACGAGGTAGGCCGGACCTTCCCTCGGGGCGGGTGCCGGGGCCCAGCCTGGAGGGTCCAACAGAGGCTCTGGGCTGCAGGTCTTCATGATCAACCTGAAGCGGCGGCAGGACCGGCGGGAACGCATGCTGCGGGCCCTGGAAGAGCAGGAAATAGCCTGCCGGCTGGTGGAGGCTGTGGACGGCAAGTGAGTTGGACCCTGCTGGGGGAGGGGCGGCGCCACGGGTGGGTGTAGACCACCCTGATGGCCGCCGCGGAGGGGGCGTGGGTCTGACGCTGGCTGGGTGCTCACAGACCTGCGCAGAGGTATAGACAACGCCGAGGCAGGCCACATCCGGTCCACGATGGGTTGGGGGAGGGTGGGGAAGGGAGGCTCACTAACTGGTGGGACTGTAGATAGATAACGGTCTTCCTCTGCCCCCGACCCCTCCCCACTTGCAGAGCCATGAACACCAGCCAGGTGGAGGCTCTGGGCATCCAGATGCTGCCCGGCTACCGGGACCCCTACCATGGGCGGCCCCTCACCAAGGGCGAACTGGGCTGCTTCCTCAGCCACTATAACATCTGGAAGGAGGTATGTCTGGCAGGGGGGCAGGACCCTCCTTGGCCCTTCTTTTTATAAAAAAACAAATCTTATTTATTATTATCTTTATTTATTTGGCTGCATCTGGTCCTGATCGCAGCACTCGGAGCCTTCCCTTCACACGGGGGCTTTTCCTTGCAGCTAGGGGATTCTCCAGTTGTGGCACTCGGCCTCTCTAGTTGTGGCTCGAAGGCTCAGTTGTCCCACCATGCAGTATCTGAGTTCCCTGATCAGGGATCAAACCTGTGTCCCCTGCGTTGCAAGGCAGATTCTTAAGCACTGGACCACCAGGGAAGTCCCCTCCTCGGGCTTCTTAACAGCTCAGGGAGGGAATCCCCTGCATCCCAGCCTGGCCTCCAAAACCACTGCAGGACACTCAGCCTCTCTCCTTGGGTGAATGTGGCACCCGAACCCCGGGTGGGGCAGCTGCCGTCCTTCCACTGTGCGGATGTGAGTCCTGAGTCGGAGGAGGGCTGAGCCTGACTCTAGAAGCAGGTGGGGTCTGAGGCCCGGGACCTCCAAGTGAAGCCTCTTCATAGCCAGCCACTATCAAGTATCTGGAGCCTGGGCACCGTGCTCAGAGCTTATTAGTAGGAGCACCAGCCATGGTGATGTTAACTAATGCACACCCCACACACTGGTACCCCATCAGCCACAGAGGCTCATCAGACACCCTGGGAGGGAAAGGTTATGATGGGCGAGGATGCCAGATGGGGCTTTGAACCTGGGACCATCCAACTTGAGGCCACATTTGGAGTTTGAGGCAGTGCATTCCCGCCCAGGTTGCTCTCTTTTTCTGACGTTCATCATGGAAGGTACGGGGCAAAGGTTGCGGTGTCCAGGCAGCTGTGGAGCCAGAGGGGATCCAGGTTCAAGTCCAGCCCTGCCTCCGAGCGGGGTGAGCTCTGTGAGCAAGGAAGGCATTTCCCAATCTGAGCCTCGTTTTCCCAAAAGAAGAAGACAGAGTCTTCAGTCATGAAGATTATCGAGTTCATTCATTCAGGGAAGATTTGTCAAGTACTGACTGCGTGCCCAGCCTGGTGCTGGTCCAGGGGACATGACAGCCCCCAAGACACACCCAGCTCCCACAGGGGAGTCACAGCCCTGGGAGGTGGGGAGACTGATGATAAACCACAGCGAAATGACTAACGTTGAAATAAGTGAGAGGCACCTACAGGAGAGGTCCAGGGTTATGCATCGTCCTCAACTAGCAGTTTTGGGTGATAGTCATGAGGGGTCTCTTTAGTTGACATTGGAACTGAGGCCAGCAGGGTGAGAGGGATCCTGCCTGCTGCTGCAAGGGAGAAGGGTGCTCTGTATCACAGGCGCGGCAGGCGCAGGCCCTGGGGTGGAGAGGGACAGCCAGGCTGAGGCTGTGGAATCTGCTTCCAAGTTGTAAGGAGAAGGTTTTGGCCAAGAGGTAGATCTGGACTATTGGTGGGGGGTGTGTGTATCTATTTTTCTTTTTTCCTGGTGCCCCAGACCTCTTAAGCAGAACTGGCTTTGGGGTCAGGCCTGGACTTGATCTTCCAAGATCCTAGCGGGGCCTCCTCCCTCAGGTTGTGGACCGCGGGCTGCAGAAATCACTCGTGTTTGAGGATGACCTACGCTTCGAGATCTTCTTCAAGAGGCGACTGATGAACCTTATGCGGGATGTGGAGCGGGAGGGTCTGGACTGGGACCTCATGTGAGTGGGGCCTGGGTGGGGCCGGAACTCCAAGGCGGGGCCTGGAGACTAGCTCTGCGGGCCTTTGCAGGTTAATAGGTTGGGTCGACTTGTGGGAGGTTGGCAGGAGGACTCAATACTTGACCTGGAAGTCTGGGGTCTTGGAAGCCTGCCAGCTCTTTCAGGGCTTGGAGACTTGACTGAGGCCTTCCTCTTACTTAGCCAGTGTGGCTAAGATTTGACCTGGAAGCCTGTGGATGTGGCTTAAGAACTTGGGGGTGTGGCCTGGGTGGGTGTGGTCAGGGCTGGGCAGCAGGGCGGAGCCTTTGGTGCCGAGTGTGGGGTGTGGCCAAAGGAGTCTGGGTCTTAGACCAGTACTAGGTGGAGGGTGGCCAGAGCATTTCCAGAACAGTCTCCTGTAGGTGGGTTGGTTCATCCCCCGCTGCTTCCCCCTCCCCTGTGCAGAGCCCTGATCCGGGTTCTGAGCCTCAGACTCAGCAGCGTGTCATTAAAATGAATAGTAATGGGTCCCCTTCACTCCTGACCGCTTCACCTGAACCCTCCATCTTGCCCACCCGTCCCACTGCCCTCTGAACCCAGAGCAGCTTCCTTCTCGGTCCCACTGCCCCCCGTGTGGGCCCTAGACCGCTGTGGGCCTGTCCCCACGCAGTCCAGTCACACGTGCCTCGGCAGTGCTCCCCAGCTCCCCCCGCCCCAGGGTCTGACAGCGGCTCAGTGGCTCCCTGCGTTAGCATTCTTGGGCAGGTGGACAGGCGGAGGGTGACAGAGCCCCCATTCTGCACCCCAGCTACGTGGGCCGGAAGCGGATGCAGGTGGAGCACCCCGAGAAGGCTGTGCCCCGCGTGAGGAACCTGGTGGAGGCCGACTACTCGTACTGGACCCTGGCCTACGTGATCTCCCTGCAAGGCGCCCGCAAGCTGCTGGCTGCCCGGCCGCTCTCCAAAATGCTGCCCGTGGACGAGTTCTTGCCAGTCATGTTCGACAAGCACCCAGTGTGAGAGGGGGCGGCAGTGGGCAAGGGGAGCTGGGGTCTCGCGGTGCCGCTGGCCTGGGTAGGGGGGCGTGAGGCTCACGGGCCCCGGGCGGGGGCTTCCCTGCCGCTTCCTTCGTGAGTCCCCTCCGCCACCCGCTTCTGTCTCCTGCCTCTGACCCCCACCCCGCCCCTCCCGCGCAGGTCTGAGTACAAGGCCCACTTCTCCCCGCGGGACCTGCGCGCCTTCTCCGTGGAGCCCCTGCTCATCTACCCCACGCACTACACAGGGGACGACGGGTATGTGAGCGACACGGAGACCTCAGTCGTGTGGAACAACGAGCGCGTCAAGACCGACTGGGACCGCGCCAAGTCCCAGAAGATGCGAGAGCAGCAGGCCCTGAGCCGCGAGGCCAAGAACTCCGACGTGCTCCAGTCCCCGCTGGACAGTGCCGCCCGGGATGAGCTCTGAGAGCTCCGAGGGCCGGTGGCCGTGGAGCCAGAGCAGCGGTCGCTGGCCCGGCCCCACACCCCCACCGGGGACGGCAGGGCCCCTGTGGCCCCTGGCAGGCCCCGGAGGGCTCCCTGCACGGGGCAGCGTCCAGCCGCCTCTTGCTCAGCAATCACGTGCACGCAGGCAGCATTAATGGAGTGCCTACTGTATGCCAGGCGGACTGGGTGGGAACTGTTCATCTCTGGGTGCACCCAACACTTTGACTGGTCACAGGGTGCCAGGTTCCCGTGTTCTGGCAGTGAATGAGGTTTGATTACTCCCTCCAGCAGTGATGGAGTCAGTCCTCAAGCATTATCAATCCTCCATCAAGAATCAGGCACTAGTGATACACATTCACTGTTTCAATTCATGCGAGTATTTATTGAGTGCCTACTGTATGCAAGGCACCACTCCAGGCTCTGGGACAAGTGAGGCAAACTTTCCTTTATTTGAACACATACTGAACACCTACTCTGTGCCCGGTACTTGCGACGCAAAAGTTCTTACTGACTCAGTGCATCTATGGAGTGCCTGCTGTGTGCCGGGAGCTGAGCGTGGTGCTAGGGCTTAAGATAATCAAGGTGCTTTTCACTCTAATTGGTTTCTTCTCCACACATCCAGAGAGCATCTCCTGCACTAGTGATGCAGATGTTCAGTCAGCATCTGATCCCCCCACAGAGATGGACGAGTCCTTCCATTTCTTCATGCAGCAAGCATTTATTGAGTGCCTGCTGTGTGCCTGACCTCGCGGACTCCCAGTGGGGCTGACTGAGTTTGATTCCTCTCCTGCACCACCCCCGTCACCTGAAAGGTGTGTACCTAACACCCCCCCACCACTGCCCAGGAGTAGGCAGACTCTTCCCTCAACAGGGAGAGCCACGAGTTTCAGTGACCCCATGTCCTCATGCAAGGCTCCCCGAGACCCAGCCCCCCTGGAGGGGGCGAGGACCCCCCTGTCCTCGGTTGCTTGGCCGCCCTGCCCTGCATCTCAGGTGTGGTCTACCTGCTTGATGGCATTCTTTGTCCAAGCCTCTGGTGGGATCATGTGTTTGGGGCCTTGGACGGGCTCCGCTGCACTGGGGCGCTATCCGTGGCCTGGGCAGGACGTCCCCCAGCACAGCCGGGAGGACTCACCGTGCCTTCAAGCCTGAAACAAATGTCAGAACCGGCCAGCGGTGCCTCGTTCTCGGAGGGGTGGCTAACTGCTGTCCCAGTCGTGTTCTGGATGACTTGCTTATTTTTTTATTAAATGTTCCTGGTTGGGTTTTCACATCCATCTGTGTTCCCTTCTTGGCCCGATGGTCTGCTCATCACCTAAACACCACCCCCTGCTTCAGACCAAGACGCGGGAGGAAACCAGGTGCTGGCGAGGAGCCAGAGAGGCGGGGGGAGGGTGGAATGAGAGCCTGGTGTCCCAGCGCGCCCCGTGAAACTCACCCAGAATAGAGCGGGGAGGACAGCTGGTCAGTCGTACTGTCCTGTAGGGTCAGCTGCAGGGCTGTCTCAGGTGACAGAACGAGGAGGGGGCTGTCATAGTTTGGAGTCTGCAGAAAATAGACCCTGAGATGAGGACTTGAGTTATCCAAGAGGTGACCCAAGTAGCCCCCAGGGTGACGTGAAGAAGAGTGGGGAGGAGTCTGCAGGGTTCGCCAGTGAGCCACTCATTTCTTCAGTCGCTCAGTTGCTCCGACTCTGACAGTGAGCCGTTAACTACAGTAACTGGAGACCTGAGGTGGGGCTGAGCAATACAGGGCATGGACCCTAGAGTGGTCCCAGCCCCCAGGTGAGGGAGGTGGGGCATTTATCCACCCTCAACGGCATGTACATTTTCTGGGTCAAATACTTACACGTTTTCAAGGTTCTTAAGCCCTTAGGGCTTGCAGGCATATAACCAGGGGCTTTTACAAAATAACAGATGGTGTGTGATCCTACTGAAGAAATGAGAACTTACAGCTAAGCAAACTGAAAAAAGCAAAATTAAATCACACCTCCTCAGAGACAACTTTTTGGTGACAAACCTTTTCAGTCTTAGCCATGTGCATGGTGCAAATATATACATATTTTGAAAAAGAAGTTTCATATTACATAAACTCTGTTACAACCTGCTTGTATTTTCTCTCACACAACACATATTTTCTCCCAGCAACACATTTTTATTTCAGAAACAGGATCAAAATGTATCCAGGGTTTTTTTTTTTTCTACCCTGCAAGGTTCTTTTTAAGTTTAACAGCATATTGTGGACATTCTCATCAGCGCAGGCACCTACCAGCTCTTTTTGGATTGTTACATATAATAAAAAATACCATAATCAGGATGGACCAGCCAGCATTTACTCAATCATCCTGACTGAAGAATATCACAGTCCAGCAATGAACAGCATTGTACAACACATCTTTCCTACTGGATTTTTTATTTCGGTTGGGTAAGTTGATACAGATGAAACTGCTGGGTTAACAGAAATGATCGCTTGATGTTTCAGTAGAGACTACCATATTTACTCTGGTTAAATCCTAACTATTCATCATTTGCCTACCAGGGTGTCCAGTCCCCTCTCATCAAAGACTGCAATCATTTCTCATGTGTTACTGTTGCGAGTGATGTTTCCATATCTTATTTTAACTCTTAGGGGTTAAATTAAGATTTTAAAATTTGGTGGGTCACTATTGGATTGGATTGTGTCTCTCCAGGACATTTGGTGATGTCTGGAGACGTTACTGGCTGTCATGACTGGGGGTGGGTGCCATTGGCATCTGGCAGACAGAAATTAAACACTGTGAAGTGCATGGAGAAGGTCCATAACAAAGAATGATTGATCCCCAAAAGTCCACAGTCACACCCAATTCCATTTAGCCTCTTGAAGACATGAGCCTCTAGAAGAGTCTTTGTGGCCTGAGTAAAATTACCTTGGCTATGAAATGTCTCTGATTCAAATGTAGATTCTTAGGCTCTGTTTCCAAACTGAAGGGGTCAGAATCTTGGAGGTGATGCCGAGGAACCAGAGTTTTATTTGGAGGGCAGCAGAGGATGAGATGGTTAGATAGCATTACCAACTATGAATTTGGGGAATGACATGAATTTGGGGAAACTCTGGGAGATAGTGAAGGACAGGGAAGACTGGCAAGCTGCAGTCTATGGGTTGCAAAGAGTCAGACATGACTTAGCCACTGAACAACAACAGTCCAGTTGTCTATGGGGCTATCCAGGTGACTCAGGAGGAAAGAACCCACCTGCCAATGCAGGAGGCACAAGAGACTCAGATTTGATCCTGGGTTGGGAAGATCTGCTGGAGAAGGGAATAGCAACCTGCTCCAGTATTCTTGCTTGGGAAATCCCATGAACAGAGGAGCCTGGTGGGCTATAGTCCGTGGGGTCGCAAAGAGTCGAACAAAACTGGGTGACTGAGCACACACGTAGGCATCTTGTTATCTAACTTGGAGTTCTCCTTTGCTCTCTGAAGCTGGGAGAACCACATCCTTCTAGAACATTCCAACAGAACTGGCTCACCCGGAGGAACTGAGGCTCCCCACACTCACAGAAAGGGGGCAGTTAGGAGATTCTAGAAACCTCCAACTTGGGGCACATACCTTGAATGTGGCATACCTTGATGGGGCACATAGCCTCCATCAGAACTGCTTTTCTTTTACTGTTGTTTTTGGTTTTGAGTTTTGGCATGTGGCATACAAGACCCTTAGTTCCCCGACCAGGGATCAAACCTGTGCCCCTGCTATGAAACCACAGAGTCTTAAGCCCTGGACTGGCAGGGAAGTCCCACAACTGCTTTTCAATGCCTTCCAAACTGGTCACTGAACAAGGGAATTTGAATTCCAAAATATCAGATGTTTCCATGCCCCACTGCCGGCAGTGTGAAGTGAAAGCAAAACGAAGACAACTCCGATTGCTTCTGCCTTCCAACCCTCCACCCCCGCCCGAGGGCACCTCTGGCCCGTGGACCTGAGCGCAGACACTGGTGCAGGGCTTTCTCGCAGTGTGGCTGCAGGTCTGCAGCCTCTGCCCAGAAAGGAGTTGGGTGGGGGCGGGTGCTGATGTCAACCCAGCACTCCCTCTCATTTAATGACTGTCCATTGTGATGGTGGGAAGAATGACTGTGTAATTGCAGACTGCATAATCACAGAAACCATTCTATGTAATTGCAGGATTAGGAACTGAATAATTATAATGCAGTATAACAAATTACAGAATGAAATGTAACCTTACGTAGATCGGGAATCACACAGTCCTGTTACACCCTTCAGGAACCGAGTGTGCATTTCGTTGACTTTCTCTGAGACAGCCTGCTGTGTTGGCAGGTGTCAGGAAGCAGAGGTGTGTGTAAATGGGGAGAGGGTGGGATTGCGTAGTTTAAGGGGGAGCAGAGGGTTCAGGTGAGAGTGGGGGGGTGGGGTGAGTATAAGGAAGGGTGGTGATAAAGTTTGGCCTAAGGTTGGGAGAAGTGAGGGGAACCAGGAGGGGAAGTTGAAGAAAAATGGATTAAGTCATGTACCATCCTGGTGGTCCAGTAGCTAAGACTCTGAGGTCCCAATCCAGGGGGCCTGTGTTCCCATCCCTGGTCAGGGAACTAGATCCCACACGCTGCAACTGAGAGTTCGAATGCCACAACTAAAGATCCCACATGCCTCAACTAAGACCCAACTCAGTCAAATAAATAAAAAATAAATATTTTTTTAAAAAATGGATTAAGTGAGGAGTTGGCAAACTATGGTCTAAGGGCCAAATCTGGTCAGCCATGTTTCATTGTTTTTTTGTTTTGTTTTGTTTTAAACTGGGACTTCCCTGGTTGTCCAATGGTTAAGAATCTGCCTTGCATTACAGGGGACTCAGGTTCGATCCCTGGTCAGGGAACTAAGATCCCGCATCCCCTGGGGATGCTACTGAACCTTCGAGCCACAGCAAGTGGCGCCAGAGGTAAAGAATCTGCCTGCCAATGCAGGAGACACGAGATATGGGCTTGATCCCTGGGTTGGAAAGATTCCCCTGGAGGAGGAAATAGCAACCCAATCCAGTATGCTTGACTGGAAAACCCCCATGGACAAAGGAGCCTGGTGGCGTACAGTCCATGGGGTCCCAAAGAATCAGACATGACTGAGCACGCATGCACAGCCAAAAATAAACAAATATTAAAAAATAAAAATAAATTTTTTATTGAGGTGAAACTCGGGTAACAGAAAATTAGTCATATTAAACTGTACAATCTCATAGCATTTACTGTATTCACATTGCTGTGCCACTATCACCACTAGCCATTTCCAAACATTTTCATCCTCCGAAACTGAAATTCCATCCACAGTAGAGACTAACTCGCCATTCTCCCACTCCCAGCCCCTGGCACCCACCATCCTGTTTTCTGTTGCTATGAATCTGATGACTCCGGTGACTTCATGTAAGTGGAGTTATGTTATAATTGTCATTTCGTATGTAGCTTCTTTCACTCAGCATAGTACCTTCCAGGTTCATCTATGTTGTAGCAAGAACCAGAATTGCCTTCCTTTAAAAAAAATTATTGACTTATTTAGCTGTTGCAAGTGTTAGTTGCAGCACATGGGATCTTCAGTCTTCATTGAGGCACGTGAGATTTTTTTTGTCTTCTTTCTCTTCTTAGTTGCTGCATGTGGGATCTAGTTCCCTGACCAGGGATTGAACTCCACATTATTTGGAGTGTGGCGTCTTAACCATTGGACTGCTGGGGAAGTCTGAAAATCGCCTTCCTCTTTAAGGCTGAACAGTATTCTGATCTGGGTGGCCTTGGCCAGCAGCAGCTTGAAGCAGGATCTCGAAGCAGGATCTCAGCTCACCCAGACTGCAGTGAGAGCACTGAATCCTAACCACGAGGCTGTGAGGGCCAACGGCCAGAGACAAGGCCCTGGCTTTTCTGCTTTGTGGAAATGAACTTTTAAAGAGACAGTAAAGTGTCTATCAGGAGGAAAATAAGAGTGCGTGTGAATAGACTCAGAGAGGGAATCTCCCCTTTGTGGTAGCTGAAATCATTTATATGGGGCCCTTTCTTCCCGGTTTCCTCTGGCCAATCACTTTGCTTTCCCTGGCCCGGAGCCTGTGTTTAGCGTAACTGAGGGCCCTCCTCTGCGCGCGAGCACATCTCTTAGCCAAGAAGGATTTCGGCGCAGAGGCCTATGGGAAGGTTGACACCATCTATGATGGGCTGGCGTGGCCTCCCTTTTGGGCCCCGGAGGAGCCTCTCTGTACGTGTGTAGTTGGAAAGCTCTCCTCAGCCT